AACACTCTTCTTTATTATATATATAGATATAGATATAGATATAGATATAGATATAGATATAGATATAGATGTCTCATTTCCCTGTTTTTTAAAAAAGTAAAAACAAACCTCTAAAATGCTATAAACTTTCCTCATAGGGATGTTGGTGCTCTTTTTTGCACCCCTTTCAGTTCTATAGCTTTGTTTTTGAAATACAATAACCTGAATTATAATATTTCAAGTATGGTTTGACCACAGATTTCCATAAAGCCATTATAATGATGCAGGTAAAGGTAAGGTAAAGGTTTTCCCCTGACATTAAGTCCAGTTGTGTCCGGCTGTAGGGGTTAGTGCTCATCTCCATTTCTAAGCCGAAGAGCTGGTGTTGTCCGTACACAGCTCCAAGGTCATGTGGCCAGCATGACTGCATGGAGCGCCATTTCCTTCCCACCAGAGTGGTACCTATTGAGCTACTCACATTTGCATGTTTTCGAACTACTAGGTTGGCAGAAGCTGGGGCTAACAGCAGGAGTTCACACCACTCCCTGGATTCAAACCTGCAACCTTTCAGTAAGCAAGTTCAGCAGCTCAGTGTACCACTGCAGGGACTCCTTACAATAATGATGTAAGGCAGCTTTATTTCCTAATGATCCTTGGCATGGAGTTCACCCATTTCAAGGCTGTCACACATTGAGTCAGCATGATCTTAAGATCACTTGCCAGGCCAATTACTACCAGTTGAGACCATATGAGTATATTCTGTCAGTAAGCATGCAAACTCAATATTTTAGGTTCTTACCTTTCTTGCATTTATTTATACTTACCTCATATACTCATGAATAAGTCTAGAAATTTTAATTTAAAAATCAACTCAAAAAACCTGGGTTGACTTATACACAGTTCAGTGTGAGTGTTCTACTTTAACTCTTATCAAAAAAGGAACCATCCTTTTCTCTGCCATAGTACTGGTTCTAGCCTCTTTGAATGCTTGGGTGCAGAAATGGTGGTGGCAGCCAAGGGCAGCTGATTCTCTGAGTTTGCATTGGTACATTCTGCTCTCTGTGGAATTATCTTTAACCTATCCATGAGTCATGTCAAAATCCACATGCCCCCAATTTATACATGAGAGCAACATAAACATGAGTGTATTTATTTATTTATTTACAGCATTTATATTATGCCCTTTTCATCCCAAAGGGGACTCAGGGCAGATCACTGAACACACACACAGCAAACATTCAATGCCGTTAAACAGACAGGACAGTCAACAGATAGAGGTATATGTCATCATTTTCCCAACTTCAGTTCCTGGAGGTTGTGCTTGATTCTGGCCACAGGGGGTTGCTGTCACCCCATCCTCTATGGCAAAGAGCCCTTGATCACAGACTTCCTCCTTTCTTTGATCATCATAATTTTTTGGTATTTCCTTTTTATGGTGCTTTAAAATACCTCACCACTTAAGCGGTGCCTAATTTCTCTATTCACAGCTGTTTTCGAACTGCTTAGGTGGACAGTGAGCTGGGCTGAAGGTTGGGTGCTCAACCTGACCTGAGCTTTGAACTGCCAACCATTTGATTGGTGTGATCTATTGCTGCTGGTGATTAACCAGCTGTGCTAAAGCCTGGCTTTACAGTATACAGTAATTATACTGAATTGCATCTGACCAACTGTCTTTTTGGAAAGATCCTCCTGGAGGATTTTTTTTTTACAATCTCCATTTTTTTAATTTGGTGTCATCAGTAAACATTCAGTTCCAACTCAAGGTCATTTATTTGCACCAGTCACTGCCTGAACTGAGAACTGTGTTCTATTCAGACCACTGAGAGTTGTTAGATATTTGCTATATATTGTATTCTGCTGTTGTTTTATATTATTGAAATGTTTTTATGAATTTCATTGTTATATTTTATTTTAACTATGTGGAATGTGGAATTTCAGGCTTCTCCCCATGTAAGCCACCCCAAGTCCCGTCGAGGAGATGGAAGCAAGGTACAAAATAAAGTTGTTGTTGTTTTTGTTGTTAATAATAATCAACAAATTAAAAAGCAGCTTTTTGAGCAACCTCTGTCATGATAACTGTATATTTTCCTTCTATTATTTTATAACCAAAACTGATCTTTAGGACAGCCTGCCTTCTTATTTCAGGACTGAAATGTTTACTCAGAAGTCTTTGATAATTGGAATAAGATTGCACTGCAAAAACTACACATTTTGGGTACTGGGTTGATATGAACCCTAGTATTGCTAAGACTTTGGTGAGTAGGGGTTAGAAGGTTGCACTCACAATCATTATGGAATAGATCCATTATAGATATAATGACAAGGCAAAGGTGAGCAAATGGAATGGCATGAGATTTCCAACAACTGGCTCATTCCACCTTCTTTACAACATCAGCCTCTACTGAAAGCTGTCTGCTGGCAAGTCTGCAATCAAGCATCTGACTTCAGATGTAAAATAATTTAGAAAATCCTGCTCCTTGCCCCATGACTCAGAGCTTTCCAACAAAAATAATGTTTCCCAGCTGGCCACTGATTTTAGGAAAGCGGCATCATTTTACACACTGCTTTGGAGACATGTCATAGACAAAAACTAACATCCAAATGGCATATTTTATGACTGTAAGAGAACTTCAGACACAATCAGAGATGAAATTGGATCTCCCAACTGGGCTTTTGAGAAAGAACTGAATCCAGAGGACTGAAGCTGATGCCAAAAAAGTAAAAATAAATCAGAGCCAAAGCATCTGCTGTTTCCCTGAGTTTCCAGGCTGATTCATGTGTGTACATTTGTGTGCACTGGTACACAAGGACACTGAAGGGTTGACCCTATAATTAGGCAGAGTGAGGCAAGCATGTCAGGCAGCAGCAATTGGGAAGTGGCCGAAAAACATTGGAGGAGAAAGCTATACATTGTGCAAAAAAGTGCATCACAACATATTGAGACACCCTATTGAGAAAATGGTCACCGCTGCAAGATTTTTTGATTTCGGGACTTTTTAGTAGAAAAAAAAAACTCATTTCAAACTGGAGGTAGGAAAACATTTTTGCACAGAAAATGGTATTTTTTTTGTGCAAAATCGACTGGAAATGTTGAGCTAGACTCACATTTTTGAGTAAAAGGTCTGCATGTTTTCAGTACAGATGAATTTCCTTCAAATGCATCTTGAAGTGCCAAAAACCATGCACAGAAATTCTTGTAATCTTGCCCAGTGGGGAGAAAAACCTTTGCAATTATTTATTCTTGTACAGAATAATTAATGCAGTTAGGATGTACATTCTCCTGTGCAATGTAGGCTTTCCCCTTACATCCAAGGCCCCCAGGCTCCAGTTGCCTCTGGATCACATCGAGGATCATCATCTGGGTAGAACACAGGAACAGAGTTCTTATAGTAGTGCTGGAGGCGCAAGAGGAGCTTTTTCACAATGTCAGGGTATTGATCAGATAAATCATTTCTTTCCTCAGCATCATGAATGATATCAAAGAGCCAAAGTTTCTTTGTTGGTGCGTCAGATGACAATGTCTTTGACTCATTGAATAAAGATGGTGGTGGAAACCAGTGACTGCAACCTAAGCACAGGATCAGAGAGGATTAGAGGTTAGTTGGAGCAGTTTCATAATATTTCTCCCCAGCATGCTCACAGATCTAACTTAATTTCAGAAGGATGGAATAGAACTTGCTGTCTGGAACTGGGTTTTTTCTGTTTTGATCTGCCAATGGGGAATAAGAAAAGTTCCTGGCATAAATGTGTGTCAATCTTGTGCTTACATTGTTGTTTTTTATATGGTAAGTTAAGACATTTTATCAGTTGTTTTAAAATAAAATGTTGCTTGCTAGTTCGTTTAGATGTGATAGGAAAGAAATTTATATTTTAAATCAGGGAAATAAATTATCCTACTGTTATTTGGACCTGCATCCTATGTGTCCCGACCAGCATGGCCAAAGTTCAATGACTGTAGGCAATTTAAATCCAAAATATTTGGAAGCTCAAACATTCCTGCTCTCTGAATTGAATTTGAATGTTGGTAGTAAATAAATATTATTTATTTACGATATTTTTATATTGTTTTTATATTATATATAAAATTATATTATTTTTATTATATAATATATATAATAAAATATATTATATACATTGTATATAATATACAAAAATGTATATTATATATAAAATAAATAAATAGTATTTAAATATGTTAATTTATTTAAATTACAGTACATTAGCATATTTCACTATAATTTCATATTGTGCTCATATGAAAAGATGACACATAAGTGCCACCACAAGACACTAACCTGCAAGTAAAATTTGTATATGGGTTGGAGTTCTTACTGGCAAAGAAATTATCCTGCCAATACATTGTTCTGACAAATTATCCATACTTCTTCTTGACCCAAACTTGGGTCATCAGATATTGTTTGAGATCAATGACTAGAAGGCCCAACCAGCATGGTCAAAGGTCAAGAATTCAAGAAGCCAGAATTAAGTATCTAGGAACTCAAGTTTAGAAACTATTGGTCTAGAGATATAGTACATTTCTGAAGAACAGTCCCATTGAAATAAATAACTTGAAGGAGGGAAGAAAGTGTAGTGTTGGAGGTTCTCTCTTTGGAGACTTTTAAACAGGGGCTGGATGGTCATCTGTCAGGGGTTCTTTGAATGCAGTTTTCCTGCTTCTTGGCAGGTGGTTGGACTGGATGGCCCATGAAGTCTCTTACAACGCTATGAGTCTATGACTCTATAAGAATTATACTATGTCCAGTTTCAACATTGTGAAAAATGCAAGTAATATACAATTAAACGTGGGGAGATATTGATCAGCTTTATCAATCAACCTATGAGACATCAATTACTTTGCAAATCAGACTACAAGATTGAGAAATCACAAATGTAATATAACAAATATTGGTATGTATATTACACAACATTCAATTTTTCATGGCACTTGGCCATATTGTAGGGGATTCTGGAAGTTTTAGTAAGAAAAAAGTAGCTTTTCCAAGGCCTAGTGAAACTTGTAAGAATTCAAAAAATTACCTGGATTGCCTGTTAGTAGTTTCCACTTTCCATGTCGAATTGCAGCATGTATAGAAGTATTGAAAATTGAATCTTCCCATGAATAATTACTTCGTGGTGAAGCTACATGGCTGCTACCTGCACCTAAGAACAAAATATGAGACTTAGATCTGCTGTGCAATTGTACTGTTTGCTTTTAAAATGCAGTTGTGGCAGCAAATATATGGAAATTTATATATTGTATTTTGTAAGAAATTTTTTGACCAATTACAAAATAATCTAAGCATAAAGAAAAAGTTGGTCCGGTCACGGGTGTGTGAAGTAGTTACTTCACATAGATGATTCTGCATATCACAAACTTTCAACCATTATGTTACATAATTTGTTTTTGTTATCATTTTACTACTATAGAGAGCAAGGTTTTTATGGGGTTTTCTGCATGAGCTGATAATGTGGCTAGGAACTGTGCACCTTGATTTGGAGGATGAGATTATATTTCCTATTCAGGCACAAAATGTCTTGGGCCAATCCAGGTAAAAACCGAACAAACACCTGTGGGACAAATCTGGAAGCATACAAACTACTAAGGATTGAAAGACTATTATATCTCAAATGTCAGGAAACCCTGACAAGGACAATCCCAGACAGACAAGAACAGATCCCATTTGAGACATATGGTGCACAACTTCCCTTTTTTGGGGCAATTTCTATGGAGGAAAGAGGGGTTTTTGTGTGTAAAAAAGTGTATTAGAATGCAGATATATCATTTTATGTGCAGAAAAGGGAGTTTCATGCACAGAAAATAGTGTTTTCCCATTAACAAATGTGCAAATTTTGTTCAGATTGAGCCCCAAACTAAACAGTTTTCAGAATCATGCAATTTTATAATACAGTTGCTCCTCCATGCCCATGGATTCTGTGAGCAGAAATTCAACCATCCATGGCTTAATTTTTTTTAAATCCGAAAAGCAAAACTGGATTTTGACATTTTATATAAGAGGCATCCTTTTACTAGATCACTGTCTATAAGAGGATTTGAGCATGCATGGATTCTGCTATCCGCAGGGAGTCCTGGAAACAAATCCTAGTGGATACCAAGGGCCAACTGTACTTTTTTGCAGTGGAAATACTTTGTAAAATTACTTGTTGCTCTCTTCAAGCAAGAAATTATTACTATATTCCAAAAAACACACATTCCATACAGACATTATGTTCTCACCATGAGCAATCAGTGAAAAGTTCTGTAATTTTTTTCAGATACTAAATGTCAAGATATTGATAATGAACAGAATGCTGGTGTTGAAAGGCATTATTTTCAGCAAGAGTGGTGAAACAAACCATGAACCAAAAACATTGGCAAAGTCTATATGAGGTGGTACAGATAAAGTCTAGCTCTGGAGTTGTATGTGGCCTCCAAGGCTGTTTTTATAGCCTTCAAATACAAGGCAAGCCTTGTACACCTTTCACAGTTGAATAGGAGAAGAAACTCCCATGTTTGTCACACAACTGTGACCTGCTAAAATTCTATCTTCTATGCAGCCCTTGTGAGGGCCAAGTAGTTTTTCTACCCCAGCATGCTGGGAAATGACACTATATTTTTGCCCATTGGCTGTAATTCTTTCTTTCTTTCTTGGAAAAATGTGAGGGACTGGCACTGGCCCAGGAACCAGTACTTTGAGCAATGTGATTGGTTTCCCCTAGCAAGCCATTCTACACTCACCTGGATTGTCTTTTTTCTTGCACAAAAAAAATGTGAATAATCCTTTCTAGAAGCTGCTAGAAGTGGTAATTCACCTCTTAAATAGGTCCCAATATCCCCCTGTGAGGCTGTGATGGTGCAGCGGGTTAAACCACTAAGCTGCAGAACTTGCAGTTGGTGGTTTGAATCTGAGGAATGGGGTGAGCTCCCATTGTTAGCCCCAGCTTCTACCAACCTAGCAGTTCAAAAACATGCAAATGTGGGTAGATCAATAGATACTGATTTGGCATGAAGTTAACGGCACTCCATGCAGTCATGCCGGCCACATGACCTAGGATATGTCTATAGACAACGCTGGCTCTTCAGCTTAGAAATGGGGATGAGCACCACCCCCCACCTTTACTACTCCCCTGCATTACATAGGCTTCCTTTACTTTTTGACACTTTCCTTTCCAGTGGCTGGCTCCTTCACAACCTGCACATTCAATCTTAATGACCTTCTTCTTGGCCGGTTTTTCTTGCTTATGGAGACTCACTTGGGACTAAACTCTCATATGCAGATTTTTCAAGCAGCACATGCATGCACATGTTTGGCCTCAAGCAAGCCTCTGTAATTCTCTCATGTTCCCAATGTCGTGTCCGCTTTCCAACCAATTCTGCTTTCTGACAGTGCTGCAGTCCCTAACCCATTAGAAAAGTGTTGTCATTTCTGGCAGTCCATTAGTTCCCCTTATGGGAGCAAACTGTTCTCTAGAAACATTGAAATCGTTAATTTCTGGGGGCTTTTCACACTACATAGTGTGATTTTACTTTAACCGCTATAATTCCATCCTATTAAATCCTAGGATTTGCCATTTACAGTGTTAAAGGCCCCGGTGTAAGCTATGGCACATCTCAAAGTTTGCGTGGAAATGATGGCACCAAAAAAAGCCTCTTTCTAGAAAAGGATAGATGATTTCAGAACCCAGTGAATTTGTATCATTTCACCTAGAAGTAATATGTGTGTGTGCATCCACATCCTTGTATGCACTCAGGAATGCATTTTTGCTTCTGCACTAGCACAAGGGGAAGCGTATGTAACCATCAGTGCTGTGGGAGGCCTGAGAACATGGTTGGACCTTTAATCTGCAGTAAATATTATAATCAACATGTACTCCAAAGCTGCCAGCCTAGTGAGATGGATGCAGCCTGGAATAACCACAATGCTACAAATCTCTTAGACAAATACACACATAAGCCACAATTTATACCGTTTTCTTTAACTCTATCCCTACTCTGTCTCACAGCTCAAACCAGCTGGCTATAGTAATAATGTTTTTTATTTTTATTTTATAGGGCAACACACCCTATGACATGTATCTGTAAGTCTCTTATGGTGATCTCATTAATTTTATAGGTTGTTCCGAGGCAAGGAATACTCAGAGGTAGATTTTCCAGTTCCTTCCTCTAACACGAAACCCCATAACATTCCTCCTATGAAAATCCAATTGTATGTCCTCCAAATGACCCCAGGTGGCATGGGTGAGAGTCACATTACTTTTTTTTTTTGCCCCATCAGGCTTTTCCAAATATCCTGCAAGGTAGACTCCAGCAATACATGGAGCGAGAGTTGCCGGATGTACAATCTGGGTTCAGAAAAGGCAGAGGAACGAGAGACCAAATTGCCAATATCTGCTGGATAATGGAGAAAGGCAGGGAGTTTCAGAAAAACATCTATTTCTGTTTTATTGACTATTCTAAGGCCTTTGACTGTGTGGATCATAACACATTGTGACAAGTTCTTGGTGGTATGGGGATCCCAAGTAACCCTGTCTGTCTCCTGAGGAATCTGTATAACAACTAAGTAGCAACAGTAAGAACTACCCATGGAACAACAGATTGGTTCAAGATTGGGAAAGGTGTATGGCAAGTTTGTATACTTTCACCCAACCTATTCAACTTGTATGTAAAACACATCATGTGATGTGCGGGACTTGACAAATCCAAGGCTGGGGTTAAAATTGCTGGAAGAAACTTTAACAACCTTAGATATGCAAATGATACCACTTTGATGGCTGAAAGCGAGGAGGAACTGAGGAGCCTCGTAACCAAGGTACAAAAGCTGGGTTGCCGTTAAACACTAAAAAAAACCCCCAAGATTATGGCAACCGGACTGATTAATAATTGGCAAATGGAGGGAGAAAACATGAAGGCAGTGACAGACTTTGTATTTCTAGGCATGAAGCTCACTGCAGACACAGACTACAGCCAGGAAATCAGAAGGCATTTCCTTCTTGGGAGGAGAGCAAAGGCTAATCTCGAGAAAATAGTGAAGAGTAGAGACATCACACTAGCAATGAAGATCCACATATTTAAAGCAATGGTATTCCCCATAGTCACCTATGGATGTGAGAGCTGGATCATAAGGAAGGCTGAGTGAAGGAAGATAGATGCTTTTGAACTGTGGTTGGAGGAAAGTTCTGAGAGATCAGGCATGTAGCCGGAGGAGGGGGGAGCGTCTTGAGGGGCTTCAGCCCCCCCCCCCCAAAATTCTCATGGTGGTTCGCGAAAAGGCCTTACTGGTGCATTATTTAAACTTATGTTTATTCATATCATGATCTGATCACCATAATCAATATATCCCATATGCATGGGGGTATTGGGGTAATGATACAAAAGGTTTGCTAGGCTAGACCCTCTTTCACTCAGACTCAGCCCCTCTGTCAGCCCCCCCCCAAAACCCCCCCCCCCCCCCGAAACGAAATCCTGGCTACGGGCCTGCTGAGAGTGCCTTGGACCACAAGAAGATCCAACCAGTCCATATTTCAGGAAATAAAGCCCAACTGTGCACTAGAGGGAAGGATATTAGAGACAAAGATTAAATACTTTGGCCACATAATGAGAAGACAGGAAAGCTTAGAGAAGACTATGATGCTAGGGAAAATGGAAGGGAAAAGGAAGAGGGACCAACCAAGGGCAAGATGGACTGATGGTATCCTTGAAGTGACTAGCTTGACTTTGAAGGAACTGGGGTTGGTCACAGCTAACAGGGAGCTCTGGCATGGGCTGGTCCATGAGGTCATGAAGAGTTGGAAGCGACTGAATGAATAAACAACAACAGGCTTTTCCAAGCTCAAAATATGCCTTTTTTTACAGTAGGAAGTAACTAAGGGTATGTTCACACAACTTCACTAAATTTCTATTATTTCACTCTAAACTGACATGGTTCCAATCCTGGGGTTTTGGGGGTGGCATTAGAGGGTTCTGACTAAACTTTCTAAATACTCCTCCCTATACTGGAATTCCAAGATTTCCACAGAATGTTGAAATGAGAGTTAAGGAGGAATGCAGCAGAGCAGTTTTGTAGAGCAGAGATTTCCACATTTTCTTGATTCATACCTCCTCTAGGCCAAAAGAAATACTGAACTGCTCCATTTACTAAGTAATATTATTCAAACAGCCTAAT